GAGGAAACAAGGATGGAGGAAACAAGGATGGTTATGTTGGAGTTGTAGTTGGTTTGTCAGTTACTGTTCTTCTTCTTCTTGTTGGTATGATTAGTTTTATCATTTTAAAACGTCGTAAAGGACTCAAAGATAATACTTTCTATAAACCTCCTGCTGATGCAACAGACGACCATCGAGAGGTCTGAACAGTCCCAGAGGTTTCAAACTAATGCAGAACCCACAATAAATAAAGAATAAATATATATTTATATATAATAAATGATCTGAAACATTGTGATGATAATAATCAGACTTACACTCAATATTAATATTATATTACTCTGTTACCACTACATTCCCGCTGTGGTTTTTGCAGTTTTGTTTGACACCTCTGGGCCACCGTAAAAGTCAGAGTTACAGAAGGATAACAAACCAAAAGAGACTTTAAGTGATGACAGAGACAGAAAGTAAACAGAGCAGGCTCAGCGTAATATATCAGCTGTTTCTAATTAGTGTTATTGCATTGAGTCAGGATCAGCAGCAGACTGTGAGCTTTCATAGATGTACCTTAATCAACTTATTGTACATTAACCAGAGACACTACGAGAACCACTTTAATGACTAATAACTAACCTTCCAGTTTCCATCAGGTGTAAATTATATTATGTTGTCCTCTTTATGAATGGATCAGTGTGCAATTATTGACCAATATCTGTTATAGTTTTCTGTATTTTTAAGAGTTATCAAAGCATGCAAGAAAAAATACAATTATTACGAACTTTTAGCTGTTTATTTGGGACTTTTGCACTTTCTAATTTTTCTTCTGAGATTAAATACAATTATTGTAAATTGTTCATTATTATATAATAATATATATTATATATTATAATATATATGATGTATATTATATTAGCAGTTTGTGACAGTAAGATGAAATATGCAATGACCAGTAATTGTTTGTTTGTAGCTCATTATTGATGCGCATTGACTTAGACATGTGAAGAACCACAAGAGCTTTTCAATCTCACCTACAGATATCAAAACTGTTTTCCGTCTGTATGTGCCGATAACCCATTAATCTTACACTTTCATTTCACCACCCTATAAGCTTTATTATGTTAATAAATGTGTTTAAACTTCTTCTTCCTTTTTCATTGAGTCATCATTAATAATGTTCAGCAGCTGGACTCATGTTAGATGTTGGTAGGCAGTCTTTCAGTAGAAGTGAGTATACTGGTTGTTTACCAGACTCTGCTGTTCATGTTGCTACATGTCTAATCTCACCTAGAAATAAAAACCTTACTCACACACACACACGCACGCACGCACACACACACACACGCACACACACACAGTGCTTGATGGAAACATAGTTAAAGCTATAATCCTTCAGGTGTTCATGAGGTGAAAGCATTCAGTGTATTTCCATTCTTATACACCAGGTACTCACTGTGCAGTCAGTCAGCATTATACATTAGTATATAATCACCTGAAAATAATAATT